ATGTTTCTCTCTCATCGATGTTTCTAACTCTCTGTCTCTCTCCCTTCCTCTCTGTAAAAAATCAATAAAATATATTTAAAAAAAAAAGAATTGTTGAATGGCTTTGGCAAAATAGAGGTCCTTGGTGATCTGTATAAGACCTGTTTCCCAGGGATGGTGAGTATGAAAGCCTAGTCAGAGTGGGATTGAGAGTGAATAAGAGGAGAAGAATGAAGGTAGTGAGTATATTCAACTCTTTCAAAGAGTTCTATAAAGGCTAGCAGACAAATAAATGATAGCTGCAGGCTAATGTGGGAATTCAAGGAATTTTCCCTTTTGAAAATTTAAGATGAAAGGTATTGCAGATATTTGTGTACTGACGAGAGTAGTTCACTGGAAAGTAGATTAAGAGACAGCAGGGACATTGGACTAATGCACAGTGGAAGAGTTGGCCTTAGGAGCATGGATAGTTCATCTGTAACAATGGGAGAGAAGATTGAGTATATGGACACAGTTGCAAGTAAGAGGTGTGTGTGTGTGTGTGTTGTCTTATGGTTTCTGTTTTCTTAGATAAATAGGAAGCAAGATCATGACCTGAGAAGGAGGTTGAGGGAGCAGGTGCAACAACAGTAATTGGATGCAGGTGGGAACATTAGTATTGTCCCTGAAAGCAGTTCTACCATTTACCTGTTCATTCAGTTAACTAAGTGCACAATGTGCTGAGCACTGGGGCACCAAGCTGAAAAGGAACACTGTTCCCACCCTCAAATAAATCACAGTCTAGTTGGAGGAACCACAGGTGTTCTGTTCCGTAGGTGATGTAGGTACTGGCGCTGTGGGAGTGTGGAAGAGGGACACGCTACACCTTCTAATGGGATCTAGGAAAGAGGAGGTGACATTTGAACTCTAGAGACTTGGCTAGGTAGCAGAGGGGAAGAGGGATTCGCTAGGAAGGGCAAATCCCTAGTGGTTTGGAGGAGGAAGTTGGGTCCAGGGAACTGTGGTGGAAGTTGGGTCCAGGGAACTACGACTTCCATTGTAGCCCCCTTCAGTGCATTGCCACACAGCCTCCAGAGTGATCTTTTTAAAAGCTTAGTTTATAAATTAGATCATGTCATACTCCTGCTTACAGCCTGTCAGTGGCTTTGTACTACATCAAAATAAAATCCAAACTCCTAATTATGGTGTCCTCACTCTAACTCCTAGCTGCGTCTCTGAACTTCTCTAATTATCCTCCTTCATTCCCTCCCCTCACCCACTAAATGCCCTCCCCTCTTCATGCGTTTGTGTACGTGCACACACACGACATATGTGTATGCTCCCTCCACTAGTCCTGTCAGCCTTTTCTCTGCTGACACCTTTGCCTATGCTGCTCTTCCCCCCGCTAGTCATGGGTTTTTCAGAGTCAACTCTCATGTCCTCGGAGCCTTTCCTGACTGTCCCGGAAAGTTGTTCCTGCATCCTGGTGGTTGTACTCTCCTTGCATCCCCCTGTTCATTTGCATCAGGGTACCGTTCGCTATCTGAAATCATGCTGTATATTTGCTTACTCATTTTGGATCTTTTCCCATTCGAATGGAAACTCCACGAAGGCAGGGACCCTGCCTGTCTGACTTGCTATATCTAAACTGGCCTAGTGCTTGATACATGGTAGGCTCTCCTCTGATGTTCACTCAGTGAATAAACGAAGAGGCTCAGTGTGTCTGAAGCATAGATTATATGGGAAAGAATGGTGGAGATATTCTTGGGAATCATCATGGATGTCTGTGACTCAGTTCTTAAATATGACAGGATTTTAAGCAGGGAGTTACATGGTCAGTCCTGTTTTCAAAAGATCTCCAGCAGCCTGTTGCAGGATGAACTGGAGAGGCATGCCTCGAAGAGGCAGGGAGACCAGCCAGGAGGTTTTCACAGTTCTAGGTGGGAAGTGATGGGGGGTGAGCCAGGGCAGTGGCAGTAGGAGGGAAGTGGACAGACTGGGGCCATATTAAGGAGTTAGACTATGGAGGACTTTGGTTTGGTGGGAAGACAAGAAATGTAAGTGTTCCAGAATGGAAGAAGAAACTCATAGCAATTTATGGTCAGGTAAGAAGAGGAGGTTAGAAATGCTAAATTTCGAATGCCTCTGGAATCAGCATTTTTGTGGTACTTTGGATCTTTACGGCCCAGGATGATGCTCTAACCAACTGAGCCACACCGGCCAGGGCATAATGAGCAGATTAAAAAAAAAGAGTTTCTTGAAGAATAATGTACAGAGAGAAAAGTTCACATCATATCAAAAGTGTATAACTTGATGAAATTTCACTACCTGAACATACCTGTGAAATCAGTTCGAGATCATGACACACCAGCACCCTGTTCATAGAAGTCCTGCTCCGTCCTTCTAGACAAGGGTAAGCTGAATTCTAACAGCATGGATTGGTTCTGCCTGCTTAAGTATTTTGTATATATATGGAGTCAGACTTTTGTAATGAAAGACAGGTGACTTTTTAGTTTTTTTTTAAAGAAAAGTCACTATTGCCCTGGCTGGGTGGCTCAGTTGGTTAGAGCACTGTCCCGTACAGTAAAAGGTTTTGGGTTCGATCCCAGATTGGGGTGTACGGAAGGCACCTGATCAGTGTTTCTCATTCTCTCTCCCCCTTCCTCTCTCTCTCAAGTCAGTAAAAACAGCTCAGATGGCGTGGCTCAGTGGTTGAGCGTGGACCTATGAACCAAGAGATCACGGTTCGATTCCCAGTCAGGGCACATGCCCGGGTTGCAGGCTTGGTCCCCAGTGTGGGGCGTGCAGGAAGCAGCCGATTAATGATTCTCTCTTTCACTGATGTTTCCATCTCTCTCCCTCTCCCTTCCTCTCTGAAATCAATAAAAAATAAAATCAATAAAAACATATCATCAGGTGAGGAGTGTAAACAAACAAATAAATGAAAGGTCACTGTTCACGTACCTATTTTTGCTTGTCCAGATCACCCGTCAGAGGTGCCGGAGAAGCTCATCCAGGACCGTTTCCGGAAGCTGGGCCGCTTCCCTGAAGCCTTCAGTTCCATTCACTACAAGGGAACCAGGACTTACAACCCTCCCACGGACTTCTCTGGGCTTCGGAGAGCTTTGGAGCAGCAACTAGAGAACAACACCACCCGTTCTCCCCGACACCCAGGAGTCATCTTCAAAGCCTTGAAGGTCAGTTGGCCCCCGCCTCGCCTCGAATGCTTCTCACTGGAGTGCCAGTGGGTGGTGAGAACACTCAGTTCTCCTGCTTTTGTTGATACTGGTGATTGGCAACCTGGGCTGAAAGAGAGGTTATAGGAAAAGGAAGCGCATGAGTGGTGTTTACACCTCTCAAATGACATCATCTTGCTAGGAGCTCGAGTGCAGAGGAATCTTAGGTGATAGTTAAAAAGTGATAGGTCCTGCCCTAGCTGGTCTGGCTCAATGGATAGAGCATCGGCCTGCAGACTAAAGGGTCCCGGGTTCGATTCTGGTCAAGGACAAGTGCCTGGGTTGTGGGCTCGATTCCCCAGTAAGGGGTGTGCAGAAGGCAGCTAATCAATGATTCTCTCTCATCATTGATGTTTCTAACTCTCTGTCCCACTCCCTTCCTCTCTGAAATCAATAAATATATATATATTTTTAAAAAGTGATAGGTCCTTATATCAGAGAAAAACTAGGCTTTTAGGGAATAGGAAAAAGCATTAATTTATGGGTGGTGTGGCCCAGCTCTGGTAAGCCGACTCATGTTGAGGCTCAGATATGTGGACAGCCCTTTTGTTTTTCTTTATATAGACTCACCTGTTTCTGTTTTTAACCTAAATTAATTTATTAAAGTAAGCAACATTTTGTAATCACTATAAATGGAAAACTAGTATCACAGGTAGAAATTTGGCCAAGAAAAAACCAAAAACATATATGGATAACAATAATTGCTGTTTATGAGGTACCAAAGTTCACAGGATTTGTTCATTTAATCCAGGGGTGGGGAACATCTGGCCTGCATACTGTATAAGTTTATTCTTGTATTATTATAATCATAACTTGCATGTGTTTTTCTATACCAACAACTGTAAACCTACGTTTGCCTACTCTGGTATATATAAACATTGAACATCTATCATTTTTCTATCATCTCATATAATTGCATATAGAATCTAATTTTAAGTATTTTTGCTTATTTGGTGTCTTTTCTATTGCTTATTTTTAGTATTTCAAGGGTTTTATTTCAACACAGTATTTTATCTTCACTATGCACTTCTTTTATTTATTTTTTTATTATATTTTTATTGATTTCAGAGAGAAAGGAGAGGGAAAGAGAGAGAGAGAAACATCAATGATGAGAGAGAATCATCGATCTGTCTCCTGCTGCATGCGCCCCACTGGGGATCGGGCCCACAACCTGGGCATGTGCCCCCGACCAGAATCGAACCTGGGATCCTTCAGTCCGCAGGCTGATGCCCTATGCACTGAGCCAAACCAGCTAGGGCTGTACTTCTTTATTTTACCATTATTTATAATGAATTCATGAAATCCATCTGGGTGAAAAACTGCTTACTTTTTGTGGTTTGCTTTGTGTACACCTCTGTGTTACTATGGCTTGAGGCTTAGGACAGAAGTGCTGGAAAGGAGCAGGGCCTTTGGGGCAGTGCTGGGGCTGCAGGGCCTGGAGAGAGAACAGGGGAATGTTAACAAGAAGATTGGAGCTGGGATATGAGGATGCCCTGAGGGTGAGGGGACAGAGACTGGGACTGGGAGGGGAAGGGAGGAGGGGGTAGAAGTGAGTTTGGCACAAAGCTAGGCAGGCCCTGGTTTACACAGGGAACAACTTGGGGCCTAGGCTGATTTGCTTAACCTATTGAGTTTAAAAGGTCTGCAGTAGGGCACAATGTCAACAATTAGTGAATCTGGGTAAACTGTGTATAGGAGTTCCTTGTATTATTCTTGCAATTTTTCTACAAGCTTGAAATTATATATCAAAATGAAAAGTTGCCCTCCAAAAAAGGTTTGTGGTTTTGGCAGAGTTTTCTACAGGCTGGATGTTTGTATCCTCCCAAAATTCCTATGTTGAAATCCTAATGCCCAGTGTGTTAGTGTTCGGAGGGACTTTGGGAAGTGATTGGGCCATGAGGATGGAGCCCTCATGAAGGAGGGTGATACCCTTATAAAAGAAGCCCCAGAGAGCTCCCTGGTCCCTCCCCCCAAGAGAGGACACAGTGAGAAGACACCATTTATGAACCAGAAAGCAGGTTCTCAGCAGAACCTGACTATGCAGGTGCCCAGACCTAGGACTTCCAGCTTCCAGAACTCTTAGAAATAAATTTCTGTTAAGTCTGTGGCATCTATAATAATAAAAGCGTAATATGCTAATTAAACTGGACGTCCTTACGGACGAAGATGGAGCTGTGAGGGAAGCCCAGGTCCTGGGTGTCAGCAGCAGGAGGGAAACCTGGGTTCTGGGTGCCAGAGGGAAGCTGGTGCCAGCAACCCGGGGAAGGCAGGCCTACTCTTGCACAAATTTCGTGCATCTGGCCTCTAGTTTTGTATAGCAGCCCAAATGGACTAACAGTGGTTAAAAGCTTGGGCTCTGGAGTCAGACTTGTGTCAGAATCCCAGTTCTGCCACTTACCAGCTGCTTAGTCTTGGCAAATGAATTCAGTTGTTTATTCATTAAACAAATAAATGAGTGCATTTTGTGCCAGGTAGAATCTGAGGTGCTGGAAATAGAGTGGAACCCAAGATAGACAACACTTGTAGCACTTTCTTCAAACATTTTTCCTCACCAGAACAACCTATAATAATAAAAGCATAATATGCTAATTAGACCGGATAGCCAAACGACCTTCCAGACGACCTTCGGACGAAGCTGGGGCTGCGAGGGCTGAGCCCCTTGAACGAATTTCATGCATCGGGCCTCTAGTAGGGGTAATAATAGAATGTTGCTAGTGAAGTTGAGGTGGGGAATTAAATGAGAACAACATATGTTAAGAAGCAACATACTAGTTCAATAAGTATTAGCTGTTGTGAATAATATTAAGAAAAAAAACTATGAAAAATGATTATATTTGAATAATTCATAATATACATACTTCTAATTAGAATTTGAGATTAAAGTGTACTTAGATGTATAGGCTAGTGGCCATGTAAGGGCTCAAAGGTAGTCAGAGTGGAAGATCACACCCAAGTATTGCAAACATTCTCCAAAGAGGCTGAATCCATACTTTGTTATGCAAAGGGCTGTAAATCCGATCAATATGAGTTTTGACTGCAAGGCCAATAGCTGGGTTAATGTTTAAATAAGACCATCATCAGGGACACTGAGTGCTTAAGCAGTAATTAGTGATTTTACCCTTTAAGAGTCTTGGGTGGCCTACTCCAGGCCATTTGTTGGGCACTTTTAAGAAAAATAGTTACACTGTATTCTTAGGAGGTGATATGAATCTCGAAGCTTTCTGAGATTAAAATGAGCATCGTCAGCTGAGTTCTGATGATTTTTGATAGTGGTGTCCTCAGAGTTTCACCTGGACCCTACCCTACGTTTTCTGTTCTCTGAGGTAGGTAGTCCCTCCTTAACACTAACACACTACGCTGTACTGAGACGTGGGACCCACTGCTCTTGTCCATGACAAGGCATTTTTTGTTTAAGCATATGTTTTGGGCTCTCCCCAGGAAACTGTAGGATTCTTCTAAAAAAATTTTTATTTATTTATTTTAGAAAGGAAGAAAGAGAGTGAGAAATCAATTTATTGTTCCACTTATTTATGCATTTATTGGTTGATTTCTGTATGTGTCCTGATTTTTGTATGTGATTGAACCTGAAAATTTGGCGTATTAGGATGACGCTCCAACCAACTGACCTACCTGGCCAGTGCCAATTGTGGGGTTCTTGCAATTTACTCAGATCTTTGAAAAAAATGTTTTTGTCTTTTTTTGGGGTTGTCTGGTTTTAATCCACTTTATATTAGAAGTTGTCAATTCTCTATCACTTTAATAGGAAGCTACCTGTGAGGACTATATTTGGCAAATTGACCCACTAGAATTTTATTGCTGTTAAAATACATTCTAACTGAAGCCTTCATAGCAGTGTATAACATAATGGCTGTCTATTCTTCTCCACCTTTTTAAAATTTTGTTTTATGTTGTATTTATTTTTACAAATAGCATTGAGTCCTTTTTGGAACAAAAGAGTGGGGATGGGCATAAACCAGTGATTTTAAACCAGTGTGCTGCAAGAATTTTTAAAACATGCAATATTTGACTATTTAGTCAAGGGCACTGACCTCTTTTCTCTTAGATTGTCAAATAAAACAAATGACGTTCAGCTGGTGTGGCTCAGTGATTGAGCGTTGACCTATGAACCAGGAGGTCACGGTTCAAATCCTGGTCAAGGCACTGTCCAGGTTGTGGGCTTGATCTCTGTTAAGGCGTGTGCAGGAGGCAGCCAATCAATGATTCTCTCTCATCATTGATGTTTCTCTCTCCCTTCCTCTCTGAAATCAATTTTAAAAAGTGACAACAGCCAACACAACAATAGCCATCTGCTGTAAATGAATGAAAATTATACCATTTTTTTTTTGTCAGATTGGCAGAAAATATATTTTTTGGTGTGCTGCAGAATTTTAGTAATTAGTTTATGTGTGCCATGAGATAAAAAAGGTTGAAAATCACTGGCATAAACAGATAAATTATCATTGCCAAAATAACTTGTCTGTCTTCCTGTTTCATTTTTTTCCTTCTCTCTCCCTGGCATTCTTTACCTTGTCTAGTTCCTCCCTAACTCACTGAGTGAACACCGAGAAAGCTAGGGATAGATTTATATGATTATTTTTCTATATGATTTTTAAAGTTTTAGATAAAATATACAGGAATATTATTAGGAAAAAATATAAACCTTTTAGGAAAATGGAGAGACAAAACATATAAAAGGCAATAAAAACTGTGATGCACCAATAAACTTCAACTCTCTAGTACAGCAGTTGCCAACCGGTGGTCTGTGGACCACTGGTGGTTCGTGAGATTTGAAAGGTTGGCGAATGCTGGTTTAAGGAAACCTTTGGAGCAGCAGTCGCCAACTGGTGGTCCGTGGAACACTGGTGGTCCGTGAGGTCCGAAAGGTTGGCGACCGCTGCTCTAGTAATCAAAGAAACAAAAATGAAAATCACAATGATACAAGGGCAAACACTAAGAAGTCT